CCAAGGAGTACTATATGAACCCAGCATCTCCTCTGCCAAGGTGCGATGTGGGACAAGGAGTACCAATACAACCCCCCATAAGGAACGTATCAATAAACATGCATGATCAGACAAAACCAATAAGGATTAGCTTCCATTGAAAGATAATATGCTCTGACTATCCTGTGTTTTCCATTTTACGAGCTTCATGATGTTGACAATAATCAGTCCTAGTGACATAAAGGTTCCAATGATCAATGAAGCACTTGACAATAGAATATGAGATCATCTACAGGGCCCTGGTACACTACCATTCTATGAATTAAATACAATCATACTGACGACGACGACGATGATGATGACGATGACGATGACGACCATGATGATGATGATGACGACCATGATGGTGGTGGTGATGAAAATAGAAGGGTGACCCTCATGCACCAAGGCTTCAAACATTTGCAGGGGTTGGGGACAGAAGTAAATGATGATGGCTTAAACATGGTCTGTGGTTGGATTGAACTTCCTGAAGATTTCAGCATGAATATATCATTAAAGAAAAAGTTACTAGGCTGAGAATTCGCTCGACCTAAAATCCTATGCTTGCAACATGTGTTCCCCATCATGATGAAAATATAGCTCCATAAAACATAACATACTTCTGCACTTAGATACCTACAGGCTTGCCCCTCGGTTTACTTTGTAGGTTGATCCTATACCATATATGATGTGTCTCATTAAGATACTCCCTTAAATCATTATATCTTTGTTCCTATAAGCAACTCATTTTCTCACTAGCACATCAGGTGCCCTAGTAGAACCTGAATGAGAATTGCAAGAACTGCATAGAGCATTGCTAAGATTTTGCAAACCAAAAATGTTCAATGAAAAGCTATTATCAACAAAATTAATTTGAAAAGCGTAACCGGTGAAAGATCATGTAATCCGCCAAGATTCCCAAATATGATGTAACGCCTGAAATCCAGTAAGATGGCTACTACCATACCTGTCGTGTATGCTCGGGTAATGCAGCTTTCTCAACCCAAGAGATGGCAAGATCTGTGCCTCTCAAAATCCCTGTGAGAAGAGCTACATATGCCTCAACAACTTGAAGGTATGTATCAACTCCAAGAACAAATCTATTGTCATATCCCTCCATGTAAGACAAATTTGTCTCTAGACTTGCGAGAACATAAAATCGTTCGTCCACAAATCTCCACTTGCTCAAAAACTCCTCAAGTATTTTTTGAGCACCATGAGGGTCTTCTTGCATCTGAAAGCACACCCTGAAAAGAATATGTAGTTTTAATAAAAATAAAACTCGGTGGCAACAAATTACACTAGTAACTGATGACTTACAAAAATACCTTGCGATACTTGATCATTCACAAACCCTTTTTATTTTTTCCTAGTCAGTCTTGTGGAACATATCATATAAAATATTGAGAGAGCTTAAATCAAGCAAAAAGAACAAGATTTTATTTTACTATGCCTTGGTAATCATATTTTTATGTTGCATAAAACAGAATTTCAGTTTATTTCTTTATTCTCAGCCCAAGGGCCCTTCTTGTACATTATTATAGAGGGCAGACTAACATATCAGCAATATCTGTATGTTTCTTCATTATGTTCGTTAAACAAAGTTTCAGCTTGTTTATATGTTCTAGATCCACAAGTACATCTTGTCCATAGACAGACATGGTTAAGAAAGGAACGGTGCAGAGGCCAAGAAGACCCTTGACCCCCCCCCCTCTTCAGCATAATGACTGAAAATCTGGGCCATTGAAAATTTATAGTTTGGGCCCTTGAAAAATTAAAAAACACTTTCACCCTTGATCTAAGATTCAATTTCACACACATACGCGCGCACACACACATACGCGCACACACACACACACACACACACATATATATATATATATGAAGACTTCCCAAAACTTTTTGCAAGCCAGGATTATTCATGAAAACAGCTTCTCAGCTCCTTGAGGTAGGTGAAAGGGTTGCATACATCTTACCCTCCCCATACCCTACTCTGTGTGGGATTTACTCGACTCATTTCACTTGGTTTGGTTTTATATAGTTAAATACATAAATTATTGTTGGAAATACATAATTGTTTATGTACAAAAACATTTGCAAAATAGAAAATTTATACTAGATGTAAGTTGTTGCCTGTTGGAAAATGTAGAACAATCCACCAACCAAGACGAAAGCCAAAGTTGATAATAGCTTTTTAGGGCCTATGCAAGTCGCTTGGAACCTTGACCCCCTATTTTCCATTTTTGAAAATACAAAGAAAGGAGAAAAATAAACTGGACTCCCTTAGGGAATAAATTCCATCTGAGTTAATTTTTTACAATTTTATAGGATAAAGGGAACATTTATGAATTCAAACGATGCTTTGTATGATAGAGAGAAACTCTAAATGATGGCAACAAGCAGAACGTCACAAATTAGCATCATCAACATCACAAGTATATTGGGTAATTGTACTTTATAACCACAAGAACAATGAGATGTTTGTACCGTCCAACTCCCAATGTCCTTTGTGATGTTTATGATGACAGACATCTGTAGTGGATACCATTCCTTTATATGAATACTATACAAAGAATGAGCGATACCCAGCAAGGAAAACATGAACCGGAATGGCAGTGAGTGAATTATACAGCTGCATCAACTCATTTATTATTTCCAATGTCCTGAAAAGCAAAAACCAATTGTTAAACAGATATAGTACTTGATGTTTTAGTACTTGACATTTGAGATTAAAGACTAGAGATTACAAGTCGATCTCATCCATGGTCAATACGATTAAACCACAACAGGCATCCTACATTAGTTCTTTGTTAACAGTTTGACTATCTGTTGTATTAGCCTGGACAATCCAAATGTCCAATGCCTGTGAAGGCGCAATCACCAACACCGACAAAGTTGTTCAGAGAGTTTTGACAAATGTGGACACACGTGCACGTCATTCGCACTGAACCAAGTCAAGCAGATCAAGCAAATGTCATAAATACAGGCGACACGATGTCCAAAAAGTAATCATGAAAATGGTTCAAGTGAAATCTCTAATTGACTAGGTTCATCAACTGAAAGAATCCTCTGGTTAAGTAACCCTTACCGAAAATATTTTTGAAGAAAGAATAGGTCATACATTTAATTGCAATGTGCCATGAAGATGAAGGGCATACTTTATGCGGTGAATAACCTCTTTTACAATAACTACATCACTATGCAAGCAATGCTAAAGGGGTGTGGGATTTAAATAAATTGCCACAAAATCTTTAAGTAGCCTACCATCATACCAAAAACTCAAGAAAAAGTTTTAAGAAATAAGGACATGGTAACTGGCAAGTGATACAACTGAAGTTCTTGCTCTGGTATAAAGCTGTAAATACAACAAATTATATGGAGAAAACAAATAGTTAACCACTCATACTTTGTTCAAATTGTGTGTATTCACAATTACCAATTGATTGGTTAAACAAATTATCCTAACCATTATACTTGCTTACAAATTTTTGAGGACTGACACAGTTGAAGTTCCAGAATTAGCATCCCATCTAGTTAATAGACCAAACTTGGATGTACTTAATATATTGCCCACAAGAGAAAGGATCACTTCAAATCTTAAATATGTTAGAAAAACATTTGTGAGGGAGTGTGGATAGGAGAAAAAGAAGCAGTAAGAAAAAATCATGGCAACAACTCACTGTGTAAAAAGGTTAATCTTGCACCTCATTCTCTAGTAATGATGCATGGCTTCAAGACTTATATCATAAGATTAGTTACAAGGGTTAACCTGTATTAATGTTTTACGAAATAGTCCAGCTTCCTATTTAAGTTTGATTTCATCTTTGTTGTTCAAAGCATCAGATCCACCTCTTTGATAGCTTAATACAAACATTTGATCCAAATATGACAGCCTTCTAACAATTCTAGTCACATGTTACATACTCAACTTGTGTGCAGCCTGATAGCTAGAGAAAGAAAAAGGCAAGTAATTGTCAATCGGCATTTACTCATGGAAGAGAAAGAATGAAAGGGAGACACCAGTACCAAGCCTCCTTCACTTTGAGACTGTTTGGGAAGGAAGTTTTTGTACAGAGTCTTCCCTTGCATTTTGCAAAAAGGCTGCTTCCATTTACTTGAACCAACAACCTCCCAACCAAAAAGGAGTAACCTTTTACCCAAGAGAAAGAACCAGCAAGAGGAATAATCCCGTCATTCAGCTAGTAAAAAGGTGCAACTATGAAAAATGAGTACCTTCCAAGTTCCTGCAAGGACTGCACAAACACCATACCAGCTGACTCAAGCATGTCATTCAGCTCGATATTTTCTACAACCCCGTCAGTGTATTCTTTGTCACATAATCGTTTAAGAACAGAAGAAGCTGATGCTGCTGCCTCTTCAAACATAGAGCAAACCAGGTAGCTGCATGTCAAGGTGATGAAGTATATATTAGAGTTTTTGCATCATAAAATGGTATATGGACAAAATCTTACAAATATTAGAAGTAGAAACTCAAAAGATATATACAACCAAAATAATTGGTTGTCCAATTCTGGGCGTAGTAAGCTTCCTCTCTACCCTATCCTGATTGTCAAGTACATGAAACTAGGTATGTACTGAAAGATAAAGAAGGTGGGACAACACTGCCTTTCCTGTTTACTTGAACCGTGACATGTCACATGTATAGATCCAATGGAATAAACAAAACAAAAGAGAAAGATAAAACCCCAATGGTTAGAGGAAGAGCCATAGCCTTTGCACTACCGAGCAGCATCACAACAATATTGTGTGAATAAGTCTAAAGACTACAAGGTTACTAAATAAACATAAGATCATCTCATAGAATACCAATGGCAATGATAAAATTAACAACTGCTCCAGGTCAAACCTAGAGGTCACATTATTATGGTGGTTAATACCATAATAACTTTGATGGCACGATCTTGCTATCTCCGCATAAACTGTCAAGATTGAGTTGAGCTATCTGATGAAAAGGCTTAGGACCCTACAGCCCTAGCACAAGTAACTGAACCCCCAAATGACTAGATGAGCTTAAAGATGCACAATCACATGATACAAGAAAGGGATCTAAAAAGTTTATGCAAATTGGAATTCCACAAAGATGTCAAAAATACTAACTACTGCCATTTGTTTGGATAGGTTTCATCCTTTCTCCGTTCTCCATATGCAAGCCCTTTTTTTAATTTCTCCTAAATGAGACCTATAATCACATTGTTGCTCCTCACATCATATAAACAAGACCTACAATTGAAAATGATACATGGCCAATACGAATGGAGACTTGATTCAACAATTATGTCTTATTTTAACCAAACTTAGGCAACTACTCTTGTCTGGGTAAATTGAGGAATACAAATATAATCTCCAGTTACTTTATAATCCACAGTGCCCTCAAAAGAATACTGATCATGTTATTTCTCTTACTCCTCTGTTAGATTTGACAATGAATGTACTCCTTGCACTCCGAGTAAAAAAGATAGAACTTGACCTTAAGGTCTAACAATTACTTCCACAAGTTTACCATGGATTTTACTACTAACATAACACCACTCTGCAAAACAACCTATAGCACATAGCAGAGCTGGTAGAGCATCTCGATTGGGAATATATTTCAATGCTCTATAAATCAAAAGGTGTTATTCTTGCATTGTCATCTCATTCCATCTTCGGTCTTATGAGGATGTGTAATGGAAGGCTTATTCTCTTCATAGCATTCACTAAGGTCTCCTACAACAAAAATATAACAACAGTTTTTTTCCCACAGATTTCAAAGAATCCAAATCCAGTTTTTACCCAAACTTCAAACGTATTCCCTTTACTTTTTTAAGGCAGTAATACTACGGCCAACTCTCTTTGATTCAGGCACTTCATATAAAAAACTTCAACATATTGTTTTTCTTAGAATAACCATGGTACTATACGACATATTTATGCAACTAATCCACATCTCATATGGCCAAATTAGCATAGGCTTTCCGGCCAGTAGCCATGGCCCAAGGAATTACCAGCAGCTTTATGGCCAATCCCTTGGGGTTAACTTCAATATACGTTGCAAGAATTGCCAACGATTGTGTGCAATTTAATCTTATCACGTAAACACATATGAAATCAGTAAGATAAAAATAAAATGATATCGAATGTTCACCTTTCCGCTAGCTCAACTTCGCCCCAAATTGACCGACTTCCGACCGGCGTTACCGTCTCCGTTTGTCTACCTGACTGAGCTGTCTCGGTCTGTCTCCCTAATTCCACCGCCATCGGTCTCGTATCAGCGCAGAGCAACCCTTCCCCCACCGCAATGCGTATTGAAATGCAAAACGGTAAATGGTGTAGCCGTAAGTTCACTTTTATAATTAAAAACAAGAGTAAAATATGCAACTATTTTTCCCTTCTTTTGACTTTCAAAACGTATTTATTGTATATATATTATATGGCTAGAAAGTTATTCGTCTAATACATCGAAAAATATTTATATTTTAATATATCGTTTTATTTTTAATTCATGTCGGTATAAATATAATTTTATTTGGCTTTAAGAAAATGATAATGTTTTTATTTTTGAATAAAATATA